TCGTTTGCTCAACAGCTCTGGCTATGAATAAAAACTTTGGAGTGATTCTAGCAGGTTGGAAGTCTGACTCTTCAATTTCCTAACCATATAACCTCAAGAAAGTTATTTACTCTCTCTGTGCTTCGGTTTCTTCACTTGTAAAGTGGAGGTTTAATGATAGTAACCAACCTTACAGGATGGTGTGACGATCAAATAAGAAAATCCATGTGTAGTTTAACTATCGTCTAGAATATATTAAGTGCTCCATAAATATTAGTTTTTATTAATATGTTATTTTGGTGCATATAATCTGCCTGCAGAGTCAGACAAGAAAAATAATTAAAATACAATGTAAAAAGTACCACAATGAAGGAATAACCTGTTTGTTATGGGAGCAGAAAGTAAGTTTGGGTTTAGCAGCCTGAGCTTTCTTATTTAAGGAGAAAAATTCTTTTTTAACTATAATGTTGTGAATTTCTTTTTAAAAGAATTTAAAAGATGATAGTTTTGTGGTTTCTAAATTGATGACCTAAAAAGTTTTATCTCTTTCCAATATTTACAATCCCCTTACTTGAATCTCAATTTTAAAATGTGGTTCTCTTTTTGGGAAATAGTCGATGAATTCATTATTTATTTTAAGTTAATACACTTTTGGTAATATGAGTAAAAGCAAGTACTTTTCAGTTTAGTACAAAGGTTTATTTTCCACGGTTTATCAAAGCAGAGTTGGAAGCAGCTAAAGATACTGTGCCAACAAGTTTCATGAGTTTCATGAGCATAAATTAATATATTTGTTGTCACAAATCTCAAACAACTAAAGGCTGTAGTAATGGAACAAAGCTGAGGACTCTTCAGAGTAAATTGTAAACAACTATTTGATCTATAAAGAGCCATTGAAAGGAAACTTTCCAATACAGCAATGCTATTTTCCTGCCTTCAATTTAAGCCAGGAAAGAATAAGTAGCTGCAGGAATGTTAAAGAAGGTATAGTCTAGAAGGGGGGATCATGCAAGGACATCTGGCAACTACTTGCGCTTTACCCAATTGTACTGAAATTCAAAATAACATATTTTATTATAAAAAAAGAAAAATTCTGGAAAGTCTTCTGATACATCATCTCATATTATATTAATGTGTTCTGCTTCCCTTCTTCATTTAAATTAAACAAATGTTTAGATGAATAAATCTTTGAATAGAGCAAGTACCTAAACAACCTTCTCTTTGGATGTGAAGAAATAGTTTACTCCACCAAAGAATCATTTTGCCCACTATATGACAGAATTAGGAAAAGATTTTGTAGCCAAAAGATTTGGGGCCAATCCTGGCCCAGGAGCAATAAGACATGAATTCAGTAGGCATAAGAGGTTTTCTTGAATTTGGAACCCTGAGTAAAGAAGGAAAATAACTGAATCTCCTTTAGACAGACAGACAGACAGAGAGAGAGAGAGAGACAGAGAGAGACAGAGAGAAATTGATTCTTTTCTGCTTCGGACTCAGACTTAGAGCTTGGATAGTAGTCTATATCTAAACATGAGGAAAAGAATCCCATAGGGGAATTCACCTGACCAACGATATAAAACAAAACAAGTCTCAATGATATTGAGTCATATGCTTCAAACATTAAATTATGAGATGAATGCTGCCCCTGCCATTTTTTTTTTCATTTTAGTATGAACTATGTATGTTCAAACTTAAATTTTCAGCAGAGCGAACCTTTTGGGATAATATTTTATATAAGAAGACACTCCAATGTACAAGCAGAAGACAGTTCTTTCTTTTAAATAGAGAGCAAAAGTGACTGACCTCAGAAGCATTACCTGCAGATGAACAAAGAGGGATAATGATACAAAGATCAAAAAACGCCAAACTGCATTTAATGTTTATGCTCTTGGCCTTTGAATGGCAGCCAGAACAAAATAAAATTATTAAGAAAATGAGAAAAAGTCATGATGAAGATCAATGGCCTCTTTCCACATACAATTTTAACTTTGACCCTAAATTTAACCTTCTTTTTATACATTCAACTCAAGTCAAAGAAATTAACTTATTATACACCCTACTCTCAATTAATCAACATATATATTTTTGGAGACTGTGAAATATCACAAACAGTTCTAGGCTCTGGGAAACAGCAATAAAAAAGAGTTTTTGTACTCCAATTCTGGAGTGAGATGGTCAACAAACAAATATAAGTATCAATAACACAATTTTTAAAAGTTAATAGGCTAATTTTCAGTTTCTTACTAACGCTACAACCATTTTATTAGTCACCTGGATCTAAAACACCGGAATGATCTTTCTTATTTCTGAACAGATCTAGTAAATTAAAGACAGAAAAAAATTCTCTAGAGAGTTTCATTGTCAGATGAAAATAAATATGATATGTACTACAACAGAAATAGGAAGAACACCGTTTTAAAATAAATCTTCCAATATTACTATACTTTATATTTATATTGTACTCCACATAAAAAAACTAAAATACCTTACCTTTGACAGTCAGCCAAAAGTTATTGATATGGTTGTATTTTTATTTGGAGCAAACACCAAATTTATGTTAAAATTTTTATACTGACACTATATAAACCATACATCAACTGATTATAATTCTAGACCTGTCACTAAGTGAAGCAATAGTTTACAGTCTTTCCAGATATATTATGCTACCATTACATTAAATAATTTTATATAAGGAAATGTCACTTTATCTTTTACATAAAAGAACAACAGTACTCAAAGAAAATTGATAGTAGTCACTTTTAAGACATATCCAAACAAATGTTTTATACACAAAATAAAGGCTTCATAAACCTTGAGCTTTCAAATTCTAATCACCACTTCTTCCAATTCAGCTATTCCTCACCAATCCCAAATATTAAATCACATAATTCTTTCTGGCCAATAGTTAAATGGATTTGGCTGCTTGGGCAGTAAGTAAGAAAAAAGATGACTGGATTCAGGGCTTTGGGTGGTGCCTGCATTACATCAATACCCACTTTCTCAAAGAACATAGACAAATGTGAATAAAGACTTGCACTGTCTTTCTCCAACCTTGTCTTGGCTCTCTATGCTGTTTTGATGAAATGTGATGTAGAAAAGGCTCATTCTATTTTCAACTAAGAAGAAATACATTGTTTGATGATTAATGCAAATGTCACAACCACTTTAATCAGTCAGTGGCTGTCCCTTCTCACCTATAATCAAACACTGTCTTTGTTCCTAAGTCTACCACCCTTGAAATTAATTTGGATATTATTCTAGTAGTAAAAGTGAAGAGGGACTGACAAAAGGTTGAGTGATAAAACTAACTCCAAAGAAGTCAAGAGAGAAAATACAAAAAGTAGCAAAGATACAGCAGCAGCACAACCGAGACGTTCCACAGATCCCTGACATCCTGGTCCAATTCCTGTGTAATTTTCCCATCCTTCAAGTATTTTTCTTAATCTTTCCAATATAGGCAGACTTTGATTATCATCATGGTATTTAAGCAGCATAAACTGCTTGGACATCCTTGCTAACGGTTACAGAGAGAATTTATTTGGTCTTTGAAATAATTAACCACATTTTATTACCTTCTCTTTGGGGGGAGCATGAAATTAAGTTGCCATAATGTAAAATGTATAAAATTATAAAGATTATTTTGGAGCTGCCTATAAATTAATTAAGGCAAAATATAGGATGATACGTACATGTCCCATGGGTTCACGGGATGATGATTTCTGGTGTTAAAACAATAGCATGTGCATCCATACTCCACCTCCTGTCTAACAGAACAGTTCATATTCCTGTTTTTCTAGTATAATTGAACTCTAGATTTTATCTTTTCCCAATTTTTTTTCTACAGAGAAGAACAACTTTTTTATAACTAAGCAGCAAAAATAACCCCAAAATACTGCCTTTTAAAAAGGAAACGAACAAAAGACTTATATACACCAGGAGATGATTTTAATTATTGAAGGTAAGTGGGTCTAAATGAACTTGTGATCATTTTTTTCAGAAAGCAATTATATGTTTGGTACTTTTAGTCTACTGAACTCAGAAAATGATCCCAGTTAAGATCACAGTAGACATGTACATTTATCCACCTTAGTTAAGCCAGACTGGCAAAAACAAATCTCTAGAATAAATTCTTTAAAAAGCTTTGAGTAGATGAGAATGCTTATGTAAAAACAACAACAAAAAAATGAGAATAGATACACTCCATTGCCTTTAGAAAATTACCTTAGTTGAAATAAATTGTTTTAAGTAACATAATAACAGAAAATATAAACATTACACTTCAATACTACTAGAAGTATCACCACTCCTAATACCAATGTTCATTAAAGTTAGACATGTTTAAAAGTTTCTTGAATTTTATAATAATGAAACTTTTAATCACAGATAAATATAACAAGTTAATTTATTTTATTTGAAGAATACTGATGGAATTTACACTTCAATATTATAATCTAAAACTCACATTCCAGAAAAAAATTTTTTTTAACATTTTTGAGTAAGGTGTCATTTCACAGAAAACCTGTTGTGGTAATTTCCAAATTCTCCCTGAGGATTATGCTTGTTTTTTTAGTTTGGCGGCCAGTCAAGTAGTAATATTTAACCCCCAAATTAAAGTATTTTATAATATATGACAGAGTGCCAAATTCTAATGAATCATTTTACACATGACACTATATTCCACTTGGGCTTTTCTTTACCTGGTTTTAATCTTCAATATAATTTTGTAAGTGAAATGGAAAACTACTTTATTAAAGAAAACTATAAATGGTTGGATTATTCCCATTCTCATTACAAAATAAAAACTGAGATAATAAAGCAGATGCAAAATGCTCATTGGCTTTTCCCAAATCAAATCCATTAAATATACAAACCAATACAAAACTACTCTAAGGTTATGACTCCACTTTCATATGAAAATAATTATAATTGTGATTAAATTCTTCGAAATTCAAAATGAAGTTATGTTGTTCTTGGACTCAGAGTCGTCAATTAGACAAGTCAGTCAAAGTTGAGACACTCACCTTCACATTTCTGAGTAGTTTCACTCTGCTTGTGACCAGCAGGGCATTTGCATTCAAAAGAGCCCACTGTATTGATGCAGTTTCCTCCCTGACATATCCCAGGAATAGCTTGGCATTCATCAACATCTGCAAGAAGAAAGCATTTTGAACATAGATACCACTAATTTTGAAACTATCTACATACATATTTCTTTAATGTATAGAAAAAAATTAGTTGTTTTCAAGAGAATGGTATAAGTCAGGACCCCTTTCTGTGCTCATGTTCTAATTTATGTAAACAGTACATAGATGTTATAGATCTCATTTTGTTTCTTGATTTTTTTTTGTTTTGAAATTTTACTTTGTTGTTATGTAAACAACAAATCTCTTGCTTTGATTTGTTGCAGAACATTTCTGAGTGTGTTCACCATCCTGGTGATGGGCACTCAGTATACCTCCAACTCCTCACCACCTCTGTGAATGATATAATGAATGTCTCTACTATGTCTCTTTATGGAGTTGAGTGACTATGGACTTTGAGAACTCAAAGAGACTTTTTATCCTTCTGCTGCAGACTCAGAGTGAAATTACTAGATCACAGGGTACGTATACACCAAATATGAATAAACAGCGCCAAATGGTTTTGGCACTACCAGTAATCTAATACCGAGTAGTCCACACACTTCTAGAATTCGTGAGGATTCTTGAATTTTCTCTTCTATGCCAGCATGTGAGATAACTACCTACTATCTAATTTTCTTTGGCCTAATAATTATAAATGAATATTAATTATTAATTTTTTAGTTTTCATTTCTCTAAATATTAATTAATATGCTTGTTAGCATTTAAATTTCCTCATCTGAAAGTTGTCTGTTTATGTCCCTTAGACATTATTACGTTGAGGTTGTTGTATTCTTTTTTGAAATTTAAAACTTTTTCTGTTTTAGACATGGTAATTATCTCTCTCATCCTTTAAGCTGTCTATGAATTTCATCAATTTAGGAACAGAAATCCTTAATATTGACAAAATGAAATTCAAGAAACCGTAATAAAGATTCTCAAACAAATAAAAGCCAAGAGCCTTCAAGAAATGTTAAAAGAAGTTCTTTAGGAAAAATAAAAATGAGATAGAAATTAGGGTCTACACAAAAAATGAAAAGCACTGGAAACAGTAACTATGCTGATAAATATAAAAGACACAGTTGTCATTTTTAAATAAACTTAAAGATTATTGGTTGTTGAAAATGAAGACAGCAACAATAACAACAACGTATTTTGGAGGCTTAAAGCTTAAAATACATGGAAGTAAAAAGTACAACCACAATAGCATGGAGGATTGAAGGGGAAAATAGAAGAATACTATTACAAAATTATTACATTTTAAATGAGGGGGCATAATGTTATTTGAAAACAGACTGTGGTAAGTTAAATATATAAAGACAAACACATTAAAATATAAACAAAGGGGTAGAGCTAATAATCCAATTGTGGAGATAAAATGGAATATTAAAATATACTCAGCCTAATAGAGGCAGGCAAAGAGAAAAAGAAGAATAAAGAACAGGTAGAACAGATAGATAAGAAATAGTAAGATATAGATTTAAACCCAATAATATTGATAATTATATGAAATGTAAATGGTATAAACAATCCAATTTAAAAGGCCGAGATCATCAAATTTGATTTAAAAAAAGGAAAACTCAATTTTGTATTGTCTGTAAGAAACCCACTAGAGATAGCTTAAAAAGTAAAATAATAAAAAGTATATATATATATATATATATATCATGTAGTCATTAATCAAAAGAAAGCCTGTGTGGCTATGTTAATATTATACAAAGAGTTCATCAGAATAAGAAATATTACCATGGATAAAGATGAATATTTCATAATGACAAAAGGCTCAATTCAAGAGGACATAATAATGTGTAATGTGTATGCACAGATTACAAACTGTGAAACACCTGGAATAAAAAGTGACAGAACTGAAAAGAGAAATAGATAAATCCATAATTATAGTTGGAAATTTCTACATTCCTCTTAGTAACCAATGGAATAAGTAGACTAATAAAATAAGTAGACTGAAAATCCACAAAGATATATAATATTTGTACTCTTCTTTCAGCCAACTTATCCCAATTTACATCTATAGAACACTACACCCAACTTTAGCAGAACACACATTATTTTCAAGAGTACATGGAATGTTTACTAAGACAGACTATATTCTGAGGCCATGTAAAAAGGCTAATGTAAAAGAATTAAAATCATCCAAACTGCTTTCTCTAAACACAAAGAAGAGTTAAACTAGAAATTAATAATAGAAAACATTTGGGTATCCTTGAATATTTGGAATTTCAACAGCGTACTTTGAAATGGTCCAGGGTCAAGGAAAAAACCATTTGGAAAATCAGAATACATTTTGAATTAAATGAAAATGAAAGTACAAGATATCAAAATTTGTGGAATGCAGCTAAAGCGGCATGGAGCTAAATATGTAGCGTAAAAATGCTTATTTTACAAAGAGAGAAAGGTCTAAAATTGGCGATCTAAATCTCCATATTAAGAAATTTAAAAAAGAGCAAATTAAACCTAAAGTAAACAGAACAAGAAAATAATAATGATAAACAGAACAGCTGTCAAACAATAAATAACTACAAAACCTGGCTCTCTGGAACTATAAGTAAAACAGATAGATATCTGTCAACACTGATCAAGAAAAAGGACAGAAGAAATGAATGATCAGTATCAAGAATAAGAGTTTTGCATCACTACAAATTCTATAGAGATTAAAAAGATCAAAGGAAATAGTATGAACTATCTGATGCTAAATTCAACAACTAGAACAAAATGTACAAATTTCTTGAAAGAGAAATACTAAGGCTCACTGAAGAACAAACATAATATGAATAGATCTATATCTCTTAAAGTAATTTAATTCACACTTTAAAATCTTTGCACAAAGAAAACTTTAGGCCTAGGTGGCTTTACTGTTTAACTCTTTCAAACATTTAAGAAGAAACAACAGCAGTTGTACACAAATTCTTACAGAAGAGGGGACACTGCCTTACCCATTTTATTGAGCTGCCACCACTCAAATACATTATCAGAAAGAAAACAATGGAATAATATCTTTTAGAATAGGCACACAAAAACTCTTAGCAAGTCGACTTTAGCAATACATAAAAAAGTTAATAAATACATCATGACCAAGTGGTGTTATCCCAGGAATTTAAGGTTGTTTCAACACTCAAACATCAATTGATATAATTCATTTTATTAACAGATTAAGGAAGAGAAAACATGATTATCTCATAGATGTTGAAAAAGTGACAGAATTTAACATTCATAATGTTAAAAATCTCAGTAAACCAGTAATAAAGAGCATAATAATCAACTCGATAAAGAGCATCTACAAAAAAACTACAGCTAGCGTGCTATAAGGGATTGGGAAAAATTCTTTAATTTAGAGTTTTAAAATCTGTCATTTTATATCTGTGTAAACTTGTCTTAATTTCTATGTAAAAGATAATAATTTCTAATTCAGTATATTGTTATAACAAACAATATAAAAATAAATATAATATATAAGCATATGCAAACTTACATTATTCAAGTTGACAAACAGCAGATTTACTAATATATCTTTAATTATAAAATAATATATGCTTATTAAAATAAATATTAATGATACAAAAAAATAGAAAATTAAGGAGATAACCATTGAAATAAGTTGGCAGTCTGTACTTTCACTCTTACAAACACGTTCAGAGTGGTGGTCTGTTTGTTTGACATGAATAAGATCAACATAATATGTGCTGTTCTGCATCTCATTTTTATTCATTAAAAGTATTTTGTGGATACACCTCTAGGTCAGTATATATTGATTTATTCTATTGTTTTTTGATAAGTCCACGAGTTTGGTGTATGTTAGTATGTAAATTAGAGAATTCAAGCCCACAAAATAGGTTAACATCCTTATTATTTTTTCCTCGCTTTGGCTATCTATCTATAAAACTGATTACAAGAGTCCAAAGTATTTTTACTGAAATTACAGTAGATTTCAGTATTTTACTGAAATTACAGTAGATTTCATTGTCTTATTAAGGGATATATGATCCAAACAAAAAGCAACTAAAATGAAATATGTGACAAGAAGTTTAACTCAGAACATTCGAATAGTTTAACTCAGAACATTCAAACCACATTATTTTTAAAATGTACATTTCCATCCTCATTACAATGTGGTATAAAACATCCCTAGAAACCTCTTTTCCTGGCAGATAAATCAGAGAAAGAACATCATAGTATAAGCTGAAAAATGAGGCCAAACCTATAAATCCCTTAATACTATTCATAAAATTTTTGACTATGTATTTAGCAGATTCAGTAAGTTTCAAAGGATAAAGCAAACCTACTTTACAGGGTTTATTTTATAATTGCTTAAAAAGTCTTTTCCTAGAAAGAAAAATAAAACCTTTATATTTGAAGTATCCTAGGCAACACAGATATACAGAATTAATTTCTTTTAGGCAGATCAAGCTAATCATTAAAATAAAAAAGGAAATTTTTAAAGAAATATAGAAATAATCAACTTGAGCCAAGCATACACAAGTGCTCTCTATAAAACTAAAAAGAACAAGCCTCAGACCTTCAAACTATGCAAGAGTTTCTACATCTTCGAAGTGCTAGCATAAGCAACCGCTAATGTCTGATTAGTATTCCACTGCTCATATTACTACACAGATGTGTCCCTGTTTATCCCTTCAATTCTGGCACAACGCAATTATTTCTTTAAATGTTGAATTACTTCAAATCACATGTAAGGATTTTATAAGATAAAATTTAATCTTTTGAAATTTAAACCTTATATAATTACTTCAGTCTATGTCTATTAAGGTTATAAATAATGTAACAAAGCAATAGTAATTCTAGTTCATGAACTCGTTTATTCTCCAAATTCTCCAAATAAACTTGCCATAAAAGATCAAACAGATTTTATTATATAAATTAATATTAGATGGTATATTATTTTTAGTTCACATTAAAATATGGAAAAATTTGTGCAGTGGTACAGGTATATAAAAATGGTTCATTTAATTTATATCTTGGGAACCAAGGACCAATTCCTATGACTATATTTAATA